TAATGCATTCTGCTTTATTTGATTTGATTAAAAGTATGTTATGTTGTGAGATTGTTGTTCGGAGCACTCAAGCTCATCAAATCCATTTGGCACGGATTCTACTATACTTACATTATGTTTTATTGATAAAGTCACTTTCATAGGGAGCAACCTTTGGTTCATTCAATTAAGGCAGTGTCAATTCACTGACATGTATACGATGATGCCATACTGGAGGCCCATACCAATATTCTTAAATAATACACCATGTTACGCACTATTGCTCCCTGTGGCCTTTTGTTTCCAATGTCAGGTATAGATATATTGTATGTTCAGAGTTGTTGCAGCATTGCTAAATAGATAATATACATGCAGTGATTATACCAGCATATATGTATCTACAGACTATAAAGGGAATTGTAATGAGAGGACCTTGTATACAATCAAGGCTTATGTGTACCATTAAAACATCCTGAAACCCATTGTAAATTCATGTACAATAAGTTATGGAACTCGTAATTTGAAAGCTAGTCGATAAAAATAACAAAATATCGCTTCTGGGACAAGATCAAATGACTTTTACATATTCTTTACCCTACCTATTTTGTAATTGAACAATCAACACAAGTATACATACCATATTTCAGCAGGTATCGAAAAAAAATCATAAAAATATTTTTAGATTGATAAAATCATGGATTATAAAACCAGAAGTGTTTTCTCTGAGGTCCGTGTGGAATATCTTTTTATTTAAAATTTTGCTGTGGATTCAATTTTAAATGCTTCTTAATGATCTTCAAATGCTTACTACATGTATGATCTCTATTTGTAATGTTTTGACTTCCCCGCTTCATAAAAACAACATTATCACCATTGATTCAACTCAAAAATTCACTTTCAGTATATCAATATAATACGATGAACTGAAAGTTGTTGTGAACACCTTTCAATCCTCAGTCTAATTATAGCTTTTCAAGGTTCAACAGAAGACTTTGAATGGACCTGCGTGCATAGTTCGAAAATAGAATTATCAGAGAAGGTTTTAAACTATGAAATCTACCCTAAAGCCTGAAATGATTTTTTAACCATTTTGTCGGCTGTATGTTACAATGTGCCTTTAATGTAATCATACTGATAACAAAATTGAACATTCTCTTTATTATGTTCCCATCAACACATATGGTCACACCTAACATTTTTTGTGATCGACATTTTTCGTAAGTGATCATCTTTGGTGGTTGGTACCTATACCAAATTGTTGTATTTTACAATAGCTTATACCAGGTGATGACCTTTTCATCATGTCAAAGCCTTGATTAAAATTGAACCAAACATTAGCTGAGTAGAATGAGTAATTTAAATAATTAAACGTAACATTTACCTAACATCATGCCCAAGAGTATTCCCACTCTCTCATGGTTAATGCTCGTATAAACTATACTGGTAATTCTATTTGGAAGATTGATTTGTAGACTGACTTGGGACAACACATATTCACTTGATTTATATGGCTACAGTATGAAATATTTGGTAGATATATTAAGGTAGTAATCAGAGTTAAAAAACAGCAATGAAAAAGTAGAATTTTTCGTGGGAATTGCCATTTCAACATACATGTATAAATCGAAATATTTTAATTTTAATTTTTAATAACCTTATACATAACACAAGAATTCGTTTCATGTACATGTACCTCAATTTGACGATGATTGATTAATCATTATTGAAATGAGATATGATAATTGATAAGTTTGATGACTTTTGTAATAACGAGCTTAAACCCTCTAATCTCCATATTCAATTTGTGAAGGAATTTGACATTTCTTTTGATTTATTACTGTCTGGGCTGGCAGATGCACTTTTACGTCAGCAAGTGTATCTTCAGCCTATGATAACATTTCAACAAAACTGCACAAGATTGATTTAAAACATCGAGTATATATCTTTAGTATTCAGTAGTATATTTTTTTCAATTATCATATAGCAATATGATAACTGTGTGCTACGGAAGAAGGCCCTGTAGCAACCCTGTCGGTAACAAAGGTCTGATATTGTCGTCAGCGAGGCATTTGGGGTAGGGGCTATTGGTGTTTCACATCATTTGTGAACCCCTTTCCACACAAAACACATAATGGATTGATTTGAAATTTTCAGAGATATTTTTAGCATAAGTTCCTGGAATTGATTAGATTTTGGGCCTGTTGGATGAATTTTAAGGTGTCTAAGCAAGATATTGTTCACCGTGTGCCTTGTTTTAACTTTATATAATTCAAAGATATTTTGGAAGTTTTAAGACACTAACTCATATAGAAATAAAGATGTCAAATAAATATGTCAAGCCAATTAATTCATATTCTTTTCTAATCCAAAATTTGCGGAAATTACCGAAGCCAAAATAGTGAACCAAAATATTCATTGTGATATGCTACAAACTGATTGGAAACAGATATTGTAAAAATCATAGACTTTATAAAGAAATTGTCCACAGTATTGAAATGGCCCTATTAACTTCATATTACATGTGAATTGATCCTTGAGAAAACTTAAAAGACTAATTGAGGAAAAACAGACATCTTATTATTTGCTTTTATATCAGCTTTTTTGTAATTGTAAAGATCAAAGACACGAAATAGTTAGACTTGTCTGCTTGGATTTCTAGTTAAGATAATTATAGTCTGTTGTTATATTCTCTTGACTTGATCTGCAAAGACTACTACCCTGTTTTCCCATCAGTTTGCCTTGATCATTACCCGCTGATTATTACAGGTGATTTATATGAGATCTTAATAAGTTCAACTGAAGTGTTTGTGACATTTTGTGGGAGTTTGATTGATATAAAGTGCAGTTTTCCGACAATATTTTATGTCACCACCACCAAATTTCTCCAATTTCTTTGTGGATGTTGTTTGGCATTCAGTGGTTGGTGTTCTGTGGTTGGTGTTTGGTGGTTGCACTCTGTAACAAATGGCAGGTAGTGTCATTTGGGTGTTAATGCCTTGCGTTATTTGTTAAAGGCTATACCAAAGAATTATTTCAAAATAGAATAGTGTAAATGAATCCATGCTATTGTCAAGGGTATGCTGCTTTGAAAATGTTCGAGTTTTGTTTTCTCCATTGCATGACAAACTGAAGTATTTCTTCTCTTGTCATTGAGTACTTAATCGCATTACGTTCTTCGGGAAATTCTTAATGACTTATAGACTGTTAGAAAATGATTGTATGTTAGCTGTCATTTTTGATTCATTATCGGGAATCTTAAATACCCCTGCCTTATTTATATTTAATCAGTCTCGCTAAGCCTGAGCTACTTACGATAATGAAACATTGTATTTTATAAATGGAATATTTCAGCATGCAGATTACAGATTACTGAGTTTGTCCCCATGCAATACCTGTATACAAGAGATATTTAAACACAGCTTAATTTAATCGTTATGGCTAGAGTAATGGCGCCATTTATATTCTCATGCTAAACATGTCTGTAATTATGTAATTTTCTTTGGCCTTGCTTATGGTCTCCATTTTTTGTGACGGCTATTGGAGATTGGCAGTTGTTATATTATATTCAGAATCTCTCTTCTTCTCATATTTCTGTATAATTAGAATTGTTAAATACTCGTACTCGTAATGTGCTTGAGGACTGCTGATAGATGGCACTAAACTCAAAGGATTAAATCGTTATCTTGAACCTGAAGGCACCCATTTAAACAAGCCTCTCTATTAAAGGTTTCTTAGCTTTCTTACTATTATAACATCCAGATACATGTTTACTTCAAAAAATTAAAAAGTATATTGCATTGATGTTACCCTAGTCTCTGTAATGAATTATAGCTTATGAAAAAATAGAATAATAGAGATAGAATTTCAATAAATTGCAGCATAGACAGCGCTATTTGTGAAGTATACAGGAATGTATTGACAAATGGATCATGACATATTAATATTTCATGGTGCTTATTATTTCACATATTTGATAGGTTCATGATGACATTTTGTTCTACATGGGTAGAAAACAATTGTTGTTCAAGGCTTATATTCTCTTGCGATTTGTTATTTGTATACAAACTGAATGGATGTGCAAATATTGTACCTTTTTTATTCTATGGAACTGAGCATATTCAATTTATCTTTGTTGCTCATATACAATTTTTGGGTTTTCATTTTGTCATGGGCTTTCAACTCTTTTTGAAAGCCCATGATTTTGTCAAAATCTAAAGATGGCAGTGCTTAATTTTGGATATAAAAATGATATTTAAACAAATCATGAAAAGTGTTTCTCAGAGGAATAGCATATAGTAGGAATATTTTTTCCATCTGGAAATCTTTAATAAAGATTGAAATGCAGTTAATGTTGGTTTACAGTTTCAATTTTCTAGATTCTGTCGTCATAGTAGAATGCGACAATAATTCCTGCTCAACAGATAACGTAATTTATTGGAAATAGAATCAGTTTTCGCTATTGAATTTGGTTGAATTGATTAAATCAATTTGGCATATTTGAACTCTTGAACACAAGAGTATGCAAAACTCAGAATTTCTTAACTCAACTGCATTGTTATATATCTTCCTCTAATTAGATCACTTGCTCAAGTTGTAATCAGGACAAATCTGATTTTCCCGTGTGACCTTTGATAATAAGCGGGAAAGGAGATTGAGTTACGCTGTTTTAAATTCACTTATGATTAAAGGTCATCGTCGGGTGTTTGAACAAATTGATGCATGAATCTGTGATGCATGAATGGAGAATGTTCACACTGAGATTTCTCTATGTTTGTATGTGGTGTTACTTGTGGCTCAATGATTTTAGCTGGCAGCCTGGCATGTACTATAGGTTGTGAAGTTCTGCATCAAGCTGCGCTGCTTTCTCTTCCCAAATATTTTTCGATCCAAAAAGGAGAGAGAAGAGACAAGGGAAATAGAGTTGCTTTATGCAAGTCACCAGTGCAACAGGTGTTACCCAAATAAAGAATATTGAGAGATATGTCATAATATATTTACAATTCATACATATGTATTTACAGGTGATAGTGCCGAAGGCGAAGGGAGAGTTACTAGGGGTTGTCGTTGTAGAATCTGGGTGGGGGTCTATGGTGCCTACAGTTGTACTTGCCAACATGTGTCCTACTGGACCAGCAGCCAGGTAAGACTCTTTATTACATGTTTATTATTCACTATATTTTAATAAGTGCCCTACATAATATGACCTAAAGTAAATTATAACTGGCCTTCTTGAGACTATTATTTAATTTTCAATAATTTATTATATATTTAATTTTAAAATTTGAAGCATTGTATTATTATTTCGTAAAAATAATATTGTGCATTGTATTGTACTTATGATGTCACAGCAGAGAAGTTATTTTATAGCTACCATTTCTGTGACTGGCAGTGGTTGTCAGCATCTGTAACAATCGTTACACATCTGAAACCATTTACAGTTTAGGGATGACACCTTATCTATATGCCTAGTTTTCTTTATTGTAAACATTAAGGAAACCAAGTACATGTATGATGATTTTCAGACCTGTTTTTGTAGGAGATTGGTATGTAAGCAGCTGATTATGTATTCTATTCAACCTACCTTAATGATGAGATTATTTCCAGATGTGGGCAGTTAAATATTGGTGATCAAATCATATCCGTGAATGGAATCAGCCTCGTTGGACTTCCACTGTCTTCCTGCCAAAACTATATCAAGGTGCGTATGTTGCTCCCTTCATGCGAAATTGTATATACATAACTTTGAGAATAATCTATCCTGGTCAGGATTTCTTTACAAAACTTGTGAGAAAGAGTGGAAAGGAGTGAAAATTACATAAAACGAAATCACCAGTTTACAAGTACATGTAGAGGTGATACTCTAAAGTGCAGAAAATTGTAAAATTAAACAGATTTTATTGTTTTATTTTTATGTTTTATTGTATTGTTTTTATTATCTTTTTGAGGATATGCAAAAAATAAGTCTCATCGAATTCTTTATAAAAACAACAAAATATGATCCTGTAATTCTAATCCTAAAATAGAATAAGTCTGTAATCATCCCATCATTTAACTCTCTTAGTGCCGCAATAAATTTCAAAACATATATCTCAGTGCCACATTAATTTTGAATCAGACAGCTTTTTGACATATTTTGCACTTCCATCATTCAAACCTGAATTTTAGACTTAGTTTAGAACCAAATGCAATGAAACTTGACATGGTGTATCATAATAACACTGGCTTGAAAATGCATGTACAACATTATGTCAATGGCTGTGCTGGTTACCATGGTAACCATATTAATCTTGAAATCTTATAAAACATGAAAATCGTGAAATTTTCCAATTTGAAGACAATATTTCTTATTACTGGTACCAGCGCATTCCATCTTAATTTCGGTTTTGGAACACAGGAATCGTCTCTTACTCAAAAAACACATTTATCAAGTCTAGATAGTGTATCCAAACTTGATGTGCTGATATTAGGATATGATTGATTGATGCCTTAATAGGTTTCAAAACAGACGTCTCAGTGCCGCATTGTCTTTAAATCGGACAGGTTTTTGACATATTTTGCACTTCCATTATGAGAACCTGGATATAAGACTTAATCCTGAACCAAATGCAATGAAACTTATCATGGGTCATGAAAATAACAAAGGCTTGAAGATACATGTATAACACCAAGTGATGGCGTTGTGGGTTGCCATAGTAACCATATTCACCTTGGTATCTTTAATAACAAGAAAATATTCAAATATCTCTGTTCAAAGACAATGGTTTTGTATTAGCAATATCAGCACATTACATGTCATTTTTATAGTTGTTGCATGTCAGAATTATTTCTTATTCAGAATAAAACATTCTAAATTAAATAAAGCATACAGTGTAGGGTTGTATCCAGATGTTTATATATAATGTCTTAATGTGATGATAAGATTTCAAATATTGAAGTCTTTGTGACACATTATCATTTAAATATTATAAAGTATAACATTTTGTAAAGATTTTTTTGAAACTGTATTGCTGAAATACAGATATTTCATTCAGTTGATAATGAGTTGTTGTGACATTTGCTATGGGTCATCATGATGACATTATCTTGAAAGTTCATAAGAAACTTTAGTCCACTTAACATATCTGTTACCATGGTAACCATATTAAATCTCAGGTAAAAAACATCAGGTAAAAAAAATATATATATAGAATTTCAAAAAAATTCAATTTCCTATTCTGAATTATTTAGCCTAGTCTATGCTAAATCAAGAATGATTGAATCAGCAATTAATACTTACTCTTTTATGAGTTTGTATTTGTATTGTATTTTCAGAAGATATAAAACAATAAAAAGGATGTGTGCAGAAGTAAAATTATATAATCAAGAATGATTGAATCAGCAATTAATACTTACTCTTTTATGAGTTTGTATTTGTATTTTCTTTTCAGAAGATATAAAACAATAAAAAGGATGTTTACAGAAGTAAAATTATATAATCAGTGGTCCACCCTGTAAATGAAACATGTTTACCTTTCTGTATTTTGATTACTGGAGTTCCCCTCTAAATGATATCTTGGGAAGCATCTTCCAATACAAAGAACAATGCACCAGTTTAATTGTTGATTTGTAAAGATGCTATGTTGAGCATCAATATTATGTGTTGCCATTCATGTTTGTGAAAATAGGTATATGTTGTAATATTAACTACTCATCGGAAGAATGCCTTCTTCGTACCAGATATTTGTGTTTTACATTGAACAATAAAATGTAAAACATTTTTACTGGCTCAGCACAATTCTTTTCTCCAGACTGATTATAAGTACACTAAACTGCAACAATAATCATTTATTTTCAGATTCACTTTTAAACTTCTGGCTCATTAGGTTATGTACAGTACCAGGTATCTTATCAATTAAATGATATTCCTTCAATCTCCTTTCAAAAGCATTATGCCTTGGTGTCCAAATAAATGTCGTTGTTCTCGTGTCATCTGTAAATCAAGTTTATTTCCATAATGGTAACTGAATCCAGGAATCTGTGCCAGTCATCTTAGCTGTTGACTGAAAAACAACAAATGAATTGGAATAAATTATATGCACTTCATGCAATTACATGTATGCAGTTTGTACTTGGTTGGGGATGATTTCATCAACAACAGAACCACAGGGTGAGCCAAAAATGCCACTTTAAAAAAAATGCTTTAACTTTCTTATTACCCAACCTGCATGCACACAATTGTGCAGTTATAAAGGGCCAGTGGTCCTGATTAATAAAGTAGGCTAATGTAATGAGTACTTTAACTTAGGATTTTATTTGCTCTTAAAAGAGATATTCAATTGGTTCACCACCCTTTTTGATGATAGTTTTAGTTTTGGTTCTCGTGCTGATAGAGCATTATCAATGAAATGTTGGCTAAGTTTCTTCCAACATTTCATTGCCCATTTTCTGGAAACCTCTCTAGTAAATGTGTACAATTCATTATGCATGGCTGGATTGCATTCTCAAGTTTCTTTGGGTATAAATATGATTTTGGATCAAATATTAAAAAAGATTATTAAACCCATGTATTATAACATACTGGAACTCCATAAAAAATTCAAATATACAATTTAACTTTGTTCTATGTTTCACTTTAACCAATCAAATCGTTTGAATTACACCATGTGACTAAGAATTATTATAATACAATTTTAAACCAAGAATTGAATTTATTTTTGAAAAAAAATGATTAGAGAAATTTGTGTTCATTGAAAATACATAGCAAAACGGACATAGTTCAGCTTTTATCTTTCAATGTTAGTGATACGAAAAACTGCCTAAACTTTCAAAAATTGATTTCTCCATTTCACAAAAATATGAGTTGGGACATTTTTATTCTCATAGGGCGATTTGTAAAAGTATTATTACCTGTTGTTATTATCAAATGTGATGCAATTGACACTTTTTATCTTAATTTAATATTTTCATAAAAAGTCAACTTTTTCAAAATATGACAAATAATATTTGGATGATTAAACATGGGGCCATTCATAATAAAATATTACTAGGGATTTTACATAAATAGCCATACCTGCAGTCATAAATTGTGGTCATATAATCTGGTAGATCGACTCCTACTTTGTTCTTTTAATATTTGTGTGTATCATTTCAGGTTGATGTTTTCTACCGCACTGCTCCCATGACAGTTATAACTAAGCTATGTATCTCTGGAAAACAAAATTGAAACATGAATAAATATTCCTTTCAAGTATAGTCAGCTATGAGTATAAGGCAGGACAGGCAACTGTTTTTTCAAAGTTTTTGTATAAAATTGTAAAAATTATGTCACAAAGAAATATAAAATTTGCTCTTTGACTAAAATTTTAACTTGCTGTGGTTACTTTTGGATCCTATGTTCAGTAACTTTAATAATAAAATGAACTGCTCGCATTCATGTCATTATTGACGTCACTGTGAACAATAAAAGTTTTGAAATGGATGTCCTGTGAATTTCTACTTTCTGTATGAGCTCACTTTATCCTTTGAATCTGAACTCCATTTCTTGAATACGTAATAAAAATAGTTCAAGTTATTTGTTAGATATTGACAAAACAAAACAAAACCTTTTTCAACAAGAACAGATTTCTGCTTTTTTGAGGGGACTAAAAATGAATACAGTGAAACCCGTACATCCGAACACCTGGCTAATCCAAACATTTTTTGATGTCCAAATTTTTTCCTCCCATTGATTCCTATGTTAAAAAAACCTTGAAATCTGAACACCTCTAATGCGAACACTCATATTTGAAAAATAACTTGTCTAAGCAAACACTTTTAACAAAATATCACATATTTCTTGCAAAACTGCTCACGTATTTTCAATTTAACACTGATTTCTTATGCTATCAAAACTTTTGAAAAAACAACAATTGATCTCAATCTTAATTGGTTTCTCTGGCATGACTTTGGAACAAAGCTATGTTGTCAATAAAAGTATTAATATTAATTCAGAATGATTTTATGCATTTATATTTCTTCAAAAGCAAGAATCTTGCAGATGAAACCACCTCAAAATCTCAAAGCTTTTAGCCAGCCCTACTGGCATTCGGATTAGACAGGTTTTACTGTATATATTTTGCTATCTGAAATGATTTAGGAAATTAATAGTCCGACCAAACTTTATCTCGTGCATTGGACATTTATTTTTTTGTCAAATAAAATGATGGCTATGTTTATGATAATTGTTATTATACTGTATTTGCTGCTTCATACTTTGCACAGTATCTGCATGGAAAAAATACATGTACTGTATTACAATATCTAGCCCCGGGAATCTAGCATGATATACTGTATTCTCTGTAAATTTCCTGTTCAATTATATTTTGCACTTTTCATGATTTTTTGAAGATTCACAAAATGTAATACTGTATTCTATTAAATGAACACATAGTATCAATAAAGTACATGCGACTTTCATGATCTCAAGAAAACACAAAGTTTAATGCATTATAGTTTTGATTATTATTGAATATGGTATATGATTAATCTAATTCAGAGAAAGATATATGGGAGCTGTACAGTATGTAAACCTCCGCTCAGTGATAACATCTTGTAAAAAGATTATTGGCGATGTTTTTTCTACCTATCCCTTCGACTGATTCAATTTCAACTGATTCATCTTGGGAAGTACAGTATGCTCTCATTGGAGAGAATACAGTAGCCGCAAAATCCCAATAGTTC